AGATAGCAATGGGATCCAAAGAGGAGGCCCTACAGTTGGTGGGTTTTCCACCAAATGCAGGAATCCAAGATCCAGAAGGTGTCAGAAACAAATTGGCAGAGCTTTTCAGCACTTACTTGGCCGAGATTTGGGAAATCGTGCAAGTCTCCAGTGTTTCTTGAAAAAGTCAGGACTTGGGGGTGAAACCAGTTCGGTGGTTTCCACGGGGTTTCTTGAAGCAAAAGTTGGGCCTTGGGGTGCTACGAAATTATCAACTGTTGACCACAGTAAGTAGTTTACTGGCACACAGCGATGTTGCTGGGTCCAAGGGAAGATCTAGTGGAAAACATGAGGGACTGAGGGACCATTTTTACAAGCCAGTTTGTACAGGTTTTCTGTGAATATTCCCTTTAGCCATTTCGTGTTTTGTTTTCTTCTCTGGATGAGAATGCCAATGCCTCACATTTTTCAGCGGAGCCTTGCTCAACCACCAATCAGCTGACATCAGATGACATCCACTGAGGTTAGCCCTAAATCCACTGGTGAGGCATCCTTTCCTCATGGAAACTGCTGGGGGTTGTAGCCATACCCGATTCTCAGACGCAGTATGCTTATGCTTCGTGCTGCCCAGGTTTTCAAAGAGCTGAGTGTCCCTGTCAGCAGTTGGCGCCGCCCATGGGCAGATGCTTTGGTCACGGCACGCCACGCACAGCAGCTGTGGGCACCACATTTGGCAGTCTCGCCGCATGACGCTTAGATTCCTATCCTGGCTGCAGATGAAAAAACTCAGATGGCATCAGATGACTTATTTTGAGATGACATCCATGGATATCCATGGAGGATGCTGAGATACAGCATGATACAGCTAATCTGAGATATGTTGAGGGTTTTGCATGGTTTTGGACCATTGGTAAAGCGCCAAGATTTTTGAATCCCGTGCGCTCGCAGCCCAGGACTTCTATCAACTGCTGAGTGGCCTGGGCATTGGCGTGGCTGTGCTGGACAGGGTTGTGTCACCTCAGCTGGCGGAGGAAGCCCATGGTGAACTGGAAACATTGGCAGATCAGGGGAAACTCAGTGAATTCTCGCAGAGCAGCTGAGATGAGAAAACCTGGCTGAGGGGAGGTCTGGATGTTTTGGCAAGGGGCTGATCCAAGCTGACTATCCATGACCTTACTTTGGACTACACAAGGGTGAGATGGCTAACCTGGAAAGGCCCTGAATGTTCAAATTTCCGTGAAGGATTTGCCGGCCGGGTTTTGCCCAAAATCATTTGATTGCTCAAGAATCTGTATCATCTACTGTATGCATCTACACCTTGATTCATCATCCAGCATCATCCATGTGTATTCTTTTGTAATCTTTTGTATGCATCTGTCAATTCTGAATCATTTTCCAATTATATATATCAATATTCTGGTTGGTGGTTTAGAACATTTTTCTTTTTTCCCCACCTGCCAGGTGAGGGTTGTTAGATTTTATGTCAGTTGCCTCCTCCTCCTGCCTCGTCCTCCTCTCCTCCTCCTCCTCGTCCTCCTCGTCCTCCTCCTGCTCCACTGCGATCCATGTCAGTGTGCCCTGCCGGACCTCAACCACGACCATCCACGTCAGTGTGCCCTGCCGGACCTCAACCACGACCATCCACGCCCAGTGTTCCCTGCCGGACCTCAACCACGACCATCCAGGCCCAGTGTTCCCTGCCGGACCTCAACCGCGAGTATCCACGCCAAGTGTTCCCTGCCGGACCTCATGTAGGAAGATATGGGACAAAGAATGTGCAGAAGAAAGTTAGAAAGAATGTCAGAAAGAATGTCAGAAGATATGCCAGAAGATATGCCAGATAGAATGGCAAATAGAATGCCAGATAGAATGCCAGATAGAATGCCAGAAGATATGTCAGAATATATGCCAGAAGATATGCCAGATAGAATGCCAGATAATATGCCAGAAGATATGCCAGATAGAATGCCAGATAGAATGCCAGAAGATTTGCCAGATAGAATGCCAGAAAATATGCCAGAAGATATGCCAGATAGAAATGTAAGAAGATATGCCAGAAGATATGCCAGAAGATATGCCAGAAGATATGTCAGAATATATGCCAGAAGATATGTCAGATAGAATGCCAGAAGATATGTCAGAATATATGACAGAAGATATGCCAGATAGAATGCCAGAAGATATGTCAGATAGAATGCCAGAAGATATGCCAGATAGAATGCCAGAAGATTTGCCAGATAGAATGCCAGAAGATATGCCAGAAGATATGCAAAATCATATGCCAGAAGATATGCCAGATAGAATGCCAAATAGAATGTCAGAAGATATGTCAGATAGAATGCCAGAAGATTTGCCAGTAAGAAAATGTATAAATGTCATGGTGGGGATCACACGAAGTAAAGTAATTCCATATATTGGGAATGTCATCATCCCAACTGACGAACTCATATTTTTCAGTGGGGTAGGTGAAACCACCAACCAGTAATGATGGCGAAAATCGAAAATCATCATGTCCCATTCATCCCATGTACCTTGCTCAATTATATCAATATTATATATATATATCAATATATCCCAGTATTGATGGTTATAATCACCAATAATGGCATAACTGCGTCTTCCAATGTATGCAAGAATTATTGCCTTTTCAGGAACTATTCAGGAACTATTTTCAGGAACTATTATATTAATAATGGCATATATATATATAATATAACCATCAATAATAGGAGATTATAATCCATACCTCCAAGAATTGACTCCTAGAAATGACCTGTTCAGCCACCTGACTATGTAAGCGATGGGCGAATCCCATGGATTCTCCCGGTTCAGCAGTGCTCAACGGTGGTCATCACTGTCATCACCCCCTTCGCAAAACACAGGTGTTGACCTACCCATCCCTACATCACCTACAAATTCAGTATGTCTCCAAATCTAAGAGCCAAAGACTAGAGCTAAATCCAGTCCAGCTTCTACATCTATGTACATCTATGTACATCTTACATGTGATTTTTCAGCCATGCCATCCCCAGGCACCTGCAACCCGGGATCTCGGCACCTCTGGTTGCGCTTCGGTGGGGTGAACGTGGGCCCCGTGCCGCCAGCGCTACAACGCCTGGGGGAGGCCCTGGCGGGACTGCCAGGGGCCTTGGAGGCCAAGGCGAAGGAAGCGCAAGTGCCGTGCCCACGTGCCTTGGGTATTTGACAGCAGTACAGCTGGGATCCCATATACTGTACATATGCATATTATATAAATATATATGTATATATGTATATATATATATGTATATATGTATATATGTATATATGTATATATGTATATGTATATATATATATGTATATGTATATATATATACACATGTATATATGTATATATGTATATATGTATATATGTATATATGTATATATGTATATATGTATATATGTATATATGTATATATGTATATATGTATATAGGTATATAGGTATATATGTATATAGGTGGTATATAGGTATATATGTATATATGTATATATGTATATATGTATATATGTATATATGTATATATGTATATATGTATATATGTATATATGTATATATGTATATATGTATATATGTATACATGTATATATATGTATACATGTATACATGTATATATGTATATATGTATATATGTATATATGTATATATGTATACATGTATATATATGTATACATGTATACATGTATATATGTATATATGTATATATGTATATATGTATACATGTATATATGTATATATGTGTATATATGTATATATGTATACATGTATACATATAAACGTGTGTATATATATATAGTTTTTCATGTATTTATATATGGTCAGCGCCCAAATCCTCAATATGGGGGCTCTGGTGGGGGGGGCGGTGACCATATATATGTATAGCATCCCTTACGGGCAATTCTTGGGAACCCGGTTTTCTTTAGAACATCTTTTTTTTTTTAATGGGACGCTATATGGAAATGATGTGAACCTACGGAACAGTATGGGATATATCTATAATATGTATATATTATTGTTATTAATTATTATTATTATTAATTATTATTATTATTATGTACACACATTGTATGATATAGGAAGAGGATTTGTTGTGCAAAGTGTCGCGTACAGTATGTCTTCCAAAGGGCATTTTGGAAACTGTGGTTTATATGTAGAGTTTAGAAAGTCTTGATTCAAGGGACTTATATTTTCTGTGCTGCACTGGGCTAGTTTTAAACTTTGTGACAATAAGAAGCATGCAGGGATCAATTTCATTTTTTGGAAGGAGAACCATTGTTCATACATGTTTATATACATTTACACACGCATTGATGTTTGTTAGTTTGCGTTACATCGTAAATTTCATGCCTTGAAATTGGGGGCTCCAAACATCGAATCGCGATTCGTGAGGTCTCCGCCTGGTGCCCAACTTGATGGCAGCCACCTATGGTCATGGAAGCCACTACGTGCCACACAAGGTGATCTTCCCTTGCCACGTTTGATTACCAGAGGGTAAAGGTTAGATATGGAGGTTTCCATAGTCATGGGGGTACCCCAATAGCTGGATGGTTTATAATGGAAAATCCGAAAATAAATAGATGATAACTGGGGGTAGCCCTTTTACAGGAAATCACCACTTGGTTTTTCATGATGTTCTGGTTGGTGATTTGGAACATGATTTTTATTTTTCCCCACCTGCCAGGTGAGGGTTGTTAGATTTTATGTCAGTTGCCTCCTCCTGCCTCGTCCTCCTCCTCCTCCTCCTCTCCTCCTCGTCCTCCTCGTCCTCCTTGTCATCCTTGTCGTGCTTGTCGTCCTCGTCGTCCTCGTCGTCCTCGTCGTCCTCGTCGTCCTCGTCCAACTGCGACCCGCGATCCACAGTGTTCTCTGCCGGACCTCAACCACGACCATCCACGCCCAGTGTTCCCTGCCGGACCTCAACCACGACCATCCCCGCCCAGTGTTCCCTGCCGGACCTCAACCACGACCATCCACGCCCAGTGTTCCCTGCCGGACCTCAACCGCGAGTATCCCCGCCCAGTGTTCCCCGCCGGACCTCAACCGCGACCATCCACGCCAAGTGTTCCCTGCCGGACCTCAACCGCGAGTATCCACGCCAAAAGATATGCCACATAGAGTGCCAGAAGATATGCCAGATAGAATGTTAGAAGATATGCCAGATAGAATGCCAGAAGGTATGCCAGATAGAATGTCAGATAGAATGCCAGAAGATATGCCAGATAAAGTGCCAGAATGTTTGCCAGATAGAATGCCAGCAGATTTGCCAGATAATATGCCAGAAGATATGCTAGATAGAATGCCAGATGGAATGCCAGAAAAATTGCCAGATAATATGCCAGAAGATATGCCAGATAGAATGCCAGATGGAATGCCAGAAGATATGCCAGAACATATGCCAGAAGATATGCCAGAAGATATGCCAGAACATCTGCCAGAAGATATGCCAGAACATCTGCCAGAAGATATGCCAGGTAGAATGCCAGAAGATATGCCAGATAGAATGTCAGATCGAATGCCAGAAAATATGTCAGATAGAATGCCAGAAGATTTGCCAGTAACAAAATGTATAAATGTCATGGTGGGGATCACACGAAGTAAAGTAATTCCATATATTGGGAATGTCATCATCCCAACTGACTCATATTTTTCAGAGGGGTAGGTATACCACAAACCAGATAGCCACTTTGAGGGTATACCAGTATAATGTGGGTAAACCAATGTCATAAACATTCATAAACCACCATGACTGGGAATGGTTTATACCAACTATTTATGGTGATTTGGTTGTGATCCAATGGGATGTTCTTCCAGACTTCGTCCCCATCTTTCCGTGGCTATCAGGGAACCGTGTCGTGGGTACAAACCAGGACATGTACAGCGGAGGGAGCTGCGGCTTCGAAAACACTCGGAACCTTGGCAGCTGCAGGTTTTTTTCTTCTGACCTTTAGGACTCTTCAAGGGGGATATCATGGGAATATAATGGGGATATCATTGGAAATTAGTGATAATTAATAATAATGATAATAATAATAATGATCATAATAATGATAATAATAATAATACGAAATAACAATAAATAAAAATAAATATAAATAAATAAAAATAAATAACAATTGATAATGAATAATAATAATAATAAACTCGCACAAATCATCCAAATTGATGATCGGCCTCTTGATCCGAGTCACCAACAGATCTTTCGTTTTTTTTTTTGAGCCATGGGTGCTGATTGCACTCAACGAGAGACTCTCAAACAATTTTGCGCACCGATAAACCATGATGAAGTTACTAAGTTACTACTTTGGTAAAAGGGCATTGAATTTGGATGGCATGAGTTTCAACCCGCTTAAAACCCCTTTTTTCCACTGTGTTTTCATTCCTTAAAGGTACAATGGTTAATGGTTATCCATTAAAACCATAACCATTTAACCATTAAAAACCATTAATAACCATTAACCACTGCACATGTTTTGGCTCGGCCAATCAGCTGGTACCGTGCAACACTGAGGATGCTCACCATTTTGTGTTACTTGAACCCGCAGTGGCAACCCGGAGATGGAGGCTGGTTACCTTGGAACCGCCATAGCCAGCCATAGCCAGTTGGGAGGCTGGGATCCACCAACCAGGAATGGTTTCTCAGGCTCCAGAGCATGTTTTTTCCCAATTTTTCAGGAATCTTTGTTGATACCCTCTGGTAAATTAACATAGACCCTGGCAGAGAGGGTTTGGAAGACTAGTTTCCATTAAAAATTGGTGATTTTTCAGGGTCTATGTTTATTTACCAGAGGGTAAGACCCCCTCAGCTAGTGAAACCATGTGAAACCCAGAGGCGAACTGCGTCTCTTCAACACCTCTCCAGCTCCACCCAGTTCACCGGTGCGCCCGGGAGGGGGGTTGGTGGGAATTTTTGATGCCACTAGCAAGGACAAAATGGGGAGTTGGACCATAAACAATGAAATCTGGTTTATTTATGTTTTTTTTATGTTTATTTATAGGTTTGCGATTTATCCGATAAACTAGAATATACTAGAATAAGATTAAACATTGAACAATGATGGTGGTTGAAATTGCAACAATCAGCACAGGTTTTTCAGCTAAGCAGCTGGATTGCATGCAACAAAGATTGAACAATTTGACACCAATACAATCCCAACAAGAATACAGGATGATGACAATTATCATGATACGTCATATGTCCGAGAATGGCGGCACTGTGTTTCTGGGAACACACCTGAGGGTGCAGCGTCAAGTCCAACGTAGCCGAAGCTCATCCTTCAAAATACATATATGGACTTGTCGACAAAGTCGACCCTTAAACTTAAATTTTCTAATTTGTTATTGATGTTATTGTCGTTTTGTGAACGATTGGGTTTGGGCGTGCAAGGGATATTGACATCCCTGGGATGATTCCCCATTGAGGGGTTCAACTGTTCCAACCACCAGTCGCAGGGCCCTGGCTCTGCCGTTCCACGTCTACTGGGCATCACAGCAGATCATTCAGAGTCGATGACCAGCAGCAGCCATGGCACAGCTCATGCACCTTGCCAATCCTTGCCGTGGAGGGATAGGAAGTTGATGTCAGAGGAAAGGGTATACCCTCTGGTAAACATACAAAAAGCTATTGAACATGGCTATAGAAATAGTGGATTTACCCATTAAAAATGGGTGGATTTTCCATCGTTTTTTGTATGTTTACTAGAGGGTAGTTGAAAAGGGAGAACCACTGGTTTGGGCTAGACTAAGTGATGGACTGTATCCGCTGGGTTCACCAGCTTCGTCTGACAGACGTGTTTTTGAGGTGTGCTAGACGTGCTCGCCATGGCTGCAGCATTGCAGTGTTTGTCCCATTGATGGGCCTCTACACCCTACGTTTATAGTATGTATATCACTATATGATATATCAATATATATCATATATATATATACATACTAATAGCCTAGTGACTGGTTAGCTACCACTTCAATTGGTGACTGGTTAGCCATTAGATTTAGGAGCTGACACTTTGAGGATGATTCCACCCAGTTGCCAAGTGGTTTGGGTAACAACATGATCAGCAAGCAAGGACCCTCCCAAAATCAACTCCAATTCAGCTGCATATAATATAATATAATATGATATAATATAATATAATGTGATATATCTATAGTTAAAAAATCATAATATATCATAGTATAACTATAATACAATTAGAATACACTGACAACATACCGTAGTTGCAATACAATTACACTATAGTTAATATATATATATATATGTGATTACAATAGAATATATTGTAATATAATATAACATGGTATAATATAATATGGTATAATATAATATAGCATAATAAAATATGATATGATATAGTATAATATGATACAACATCATACAATATGACACAATATCATACACTATGATACAACATAATACAATATAATATGACACAATGCAATATGATATGACATACAATATGATATGATATAATACAATACAGTACAATACAATATCAATAGCAATGCAATACAAAACACCACATATTTACAGTGTGTTTTGCAGATCCTCACGGCTCATCTCCCCAGGTGGACATTGCGCCGCTGCTGGGCCGCCTGGTGATCTTCCGCTCCAGAGAGGTGTGGCACGGCATCCAGCCCTCCGCGACCGCACGGCGCTGGGCGGTGACGCTGTGGGTCCTCGCGGAGGATGGCCCCGAGTAGCGGTCGAAAAGGGCTCTGGAGGTATGGTGATGTCTGGGGATGGGGATTGTGATTTTTCTTCATCTTAAATGTTTCTTAATATTTCTTGATTAAATTAGATGTATAAACATCTTTACACATATATATATATTATATGAAATAATATGAATATGAATACATAGCGTCTTCTGAAGGAACTGGGACCACCTGTTTGGTGGTCAAATGGTGAGGTGAAGTGTGATAATTGCACCTTGCACCCCAAACGCCAACTAAGAATTATGGGCAGTCCCGAGACCAAATTGCACATGATGTGGACATTGCCCACAGCGCTTACAGCGCTTGCATTGCCAAGGGGTGTGGCATCCGATGAGGTAGGAAAGCTTGGGTGGCACATGACAAGGGAGGGGTGGAACCAATTAACCAAACGCTTCAAAAAGCCGTGAGCTTCGAAATCTCATGGCCATTCATGGCCATCCCTGCATGTTTTGTTTCAAACAGATTGAGTGGGGTGGATGCTGTATGCCAATCAGCTTTCTGCTACTTCCTCTTTAGAATCTACGTATATCTACGTGAAGATGTGAACTGCAGGGAATCAGCGCCATCAATCCACCGTTTTCCGATGCGGCAGATATCGCAGGAAGAGGATTCGGATCAGATCCTGAAGAATTGGCAGATCAAAGACATCGGCCTACAGGTGAGCCCCGAAAAACCAACGTGAGCAACATGATTTCACAGCATTCTGCAAGTGAAACTGTCATGATTTGAGTATGCCTGCAGATCATCTGCCTCCAACATGCATCTTTTTTTTTGGATTTGAGTTTGGTGCCTTGGTGCCACTGTAAAAGAATTAAGACTGACAAAGACTGACTAAAGTTTAGTGCACATCCAAACATCAACCGGTGCATTCCCATTACAAACCACGAAAACACCTTCCAGGCCAGCGCGAAGATTAAGTCCTCCAAGACGCCTTTGCTTACGCTGATGCGGCTTTCACAGGCGAAGCTGCAGGGCTGTACCAATTTTGACCCTAAATGTATCAAGATGTATCAAGATGTATCAAGTGTCTCACAACCATATACCTATTTGTGTCTCTTGTTGATATTAATTGATATATCTTGATATTAGTTGAAAAAATTGGGATGCCAAGAATGCCAAGAGTCAAACGATTCGCTCATGGTACCGCTCCGTTCGGAACGGCATTTTGCATCGCGGCCAGAATTTTCCGGCGCAAGTGGTCGGACTGCTCGGAGCTGAGCAGAGCTGACCATAGGAATGACCTCGCCAGGAATGGGACAACATCTTATTTAAGATGTTGTCTCACTGG